TGTGTGTGTGTGTGTGTGTGTGTGTGTGTGTGTGTGTGTGTGTGTGTTTTCCCTGGTTTTCATTCTTTGGGGCAGGGGATAGGATGGTGAGGACGAGGCAGTGAGTGGTCTAGCAGTGATGGGTGTGTTTCTAGAGAGTTCTTTGCCCAAGGAAGGTGCCTTTGATTCTTATTTGTAACTTTTAAAGGTGATTTTTTTTTTTTTTTCCGTTGATGTTTCTTCCCCTCTTTGACTGTTAATTGCTTGGAGTTTCTTGCTTTTGCAAGGATATGGGTGTGAATAAAAATGGGAAAAGAGAGTTTGCTAGGTGACAAATTTGGCTTCATTTCAGAGTAAGACTTCTGTTTTGTTGGTTTTAACCTCAGACAGGGCCTCTTAGCAAAATGCCTGGGCTTAATCTGCCTTTTGGGTGAGCCCTTCTCCCTTCCCACGGGAGGGCCATCACACAGTCATGTCAACACGGGGATTAATGCATAGGGGTTTTGGTGCGACCTTCCAGAGAGGCCTTAGCCGGCCTCCTGTGTCCTGGGGGTGGGGGATGGGGGGCTTTACTTTAGGTGGTTCAGTTGCTCATGCTTTGAATTTTGTGCCATCTCCAAGGTGTTTCCATCCTCTTCTCTCCCTGAAGTGGGACTGAGGCTTCTGTAGAAGGGAGGAGTCCGGTGGGCTCCCCTCACACCCCCTGCTCTCTTTGGGTGTTGCTGGTTTGGGACCGAGGGCATCAAAACCCCTTTGCAGACCACTCTTTGTGAAGATGGGGAGGGGCCGGCATCCCTCTCCCCATCTCTTCTGCTAATCACATAATGGCCTTAAAGGCTTTCTGAAATGATTATCTTGTCTTTAATTTTAAGTGGCTCTTTTGGGGCAACATTTGGGAGTTCATGGAGTATCTTCAGTCATCTGTAGGGAGACTCTGAACTGGGAAAACTGGCTCTGTTGGGCTCTGTGAAAAGACAGCGGAATTTTCATCTGCTGCCGATTTCACGCACTGTCCTGAAAGTGATTTTGGCCACAAACCTTTGATCTGGGAGTGAGACAGCCCCCACCTCCTGCTTCTGGAGGCAGGAGTTGGTGACTGCTCAGACCTCCCTGCTCTGTGTATGTGAGAAAGTGTGTGTGTGTGTGTGTGTGTGTGTGTGTGTGTGTGTGAGCAGTAGCTAAAGAGAAGGGCCGAGTAGTGGGGTGATTGGGGCCTA